GGGTTACCGCGTTGCGCAAGAAATGACGAATCGTCAAGCATGTACACGCATGTATATGTGCTACACAATTAATAGTTGAAAAATTAATAATAGAGCTATATACTAGGTGTATACATATATATACATATATATATATATATAAAATGCCGCTTCTTACCGCCCTCCTGCGTGCACCGCACCGCGCCACGAGTAAATCACGAAGGCAAGGTCCAACGTCCGGTCAGAGAGAGTAGAATGCCCTCGCGATAATAATTATTCTCCAAACGCAAGACTGGCAATTAGCATCTCATTGGCTTATTTCTCGCTTATGCTAATGGGAATATTATTTAAGCGCGTGCACGAGAAGGGTTGACCATCCTTTTCTTCCTCCCCCACTTCCTACTCTCGGTATCTCTCTTGGCTGCACAATCGGCTTCCTCTTACGCCCATACAGTCTCTCATATATACAGTTTAGTGGCCCGTCGCGTCGCATCGCATCGCATCGCATCGCGTCGCGTCGCGTCGCGTCGCGTCGCGTCGCGTCGCTTCGTATTGCTCGCTTTACCGCTTTTCGTTGCGCGAAATGTGACGTCTCGCCCCGCGTCTTTCTTTCCCCCGTTCCGTTTACGACGCGTACTAAGGAGTAAGGAGCCGGGACACCGCGCCGTTCTGTCCGCCCACGTGGTGTCTCCTCGTGCGGTTTCCCCGTTTAGCACCATCAGGAAATTCCCCGCGATTTACTGGAACGTGCGCAGAGCCGTCTGAGAGCGTACGTGTCGCTCCCTCGAACATCTGAAACCGCTCCAAGAGACCCTCGTGCATTTATTTTGGCAATCATTTTTTTAATGAGTATTCTGTCACATTTTAGTCTACGCACGTTGCTGTAGCACGACAAATCAAAAATTTTTTTTTACATCAGAGAGATCCCTTCACAGAAAAATATCCGAGGGACCGAGAAATATCGTTGTTCTCTTATGGAAATGTCTACTAAGGAGGTCTGACTCGAAGCTTTGTGGTCGGCCGCTGCGTTTCGTCCTGGTCCCATTCTACTAGACTCATCAATAAGGCGATGTAGAGTATAGAACTTACCTTAGATGCCTGGAATGAATCCAGAATGATATTCTATTTAAAGGGAATTCGCGCGGCGCGGTGCTTACGCGAAACATTTAATTAACCATTGTTAATAGTTATTTTCACAGATGCACATATCCCGTTGTACATATGTAAGAATCTGTTTTAACATAATCAAAGGTAGACAATCCAAGTGAGATTTTGTTCTCGACTTTCTCTATCCGCATTGATTTTGTACAGGATAGTGATGACAATTGCGCCGAATTTGCTGCACTTGGAGCACTTTCATGCTCACTCAGCCGTGTATAATGGAAATACTAGAGAAGAGAATCGACAGAACTATCTCTTCACTACGCTACTGACCACTAACAACCAGTGCAGAAAACGGTAGAGTCTCACCACACTCGGCTCGGAAAGCAATCTCACTCGGCGACTTTTCCGTTCTGCGAAATTATCGGCAAAAAGCTTCATTCGATTGGCACAGGAGGGAGATCTTTGTCTCGGAGATAGAGAACGCGGTAGAAGAAAGATGACCGGAGGATGAGAAGAAAAGAACTCCGGAGTTCAAGAGAATCGAGGAGGAAGAGAACGGAAGGTCGATAGGACGAAAGGCGGCGGAAGGAAGAGAGAAAGAGGGTGAAGTGGAGACGAGGCAAAAAGCGCGAACGTTACGTGCCTCTTCTTTACGATAGAAGCTCATTGCTCGTAGATTGCGATTTGCCACGGACGTAATGAAGCCACGCCACCTTCCGCCGGCCTTCCTACAGCAACCGGTAAACAACAACGCGCATGGTGACTACACCGCATACTCGCAGTGGCGGCGAATGCAACGGCGTTTTATATATATATATATATATATACCGGCCTCGAAGAGATGTTCCTCTAGCGATCCATCGCGACAGGTTGGCTGCGCCAACAGTGGTAGACGATTCGACAATTTTTATCTGCCGAACCCATTAAACTCCCTCGATTTACTACTAGTAACACCTGCCAGGGGCGGCTTTTTGCAAATGCACGTCGAGGATAGCCGAGAGCAATGCACGCACAATCGGCACGAAAGACAACGCAAACGTCGATGGACTTTCGACCTCGTGGCACAAAAATCAAGACATAAATCAACGATGAAACTTATTTTTATGTGATTTGTACTTACATCAAGAGAGAGAGAAGGAAAAGAAAAAGATTATAGCAATAAATTTAAAAAAATTTCCAAAAGACTATTAGGACTTTACATGACAATTGTACTAATTTTGTATGTTAGATATTTTGAACTTTTTTCTTTTCTCTCAACTTGCATTAGTATTACATAAGTAAATAAATAAAACATTTTAACATTATCCAGGTTCCTACACATCTATGCTAATATTTTTAAATAAGGTCAGTCGACAGTTGTGACAGTGACAGCCGTAAACGCAAGGTGCTGCCTTGCTCGAATATTTGTGACTCGATACGGTCGTGACAAGCCAGGTAACGGACGTGACGTTTCGAAAAATTGTGGGCAACAGTGCGAGAACACGCTCAACAAAATGCATTTGTCGTTACCATTCTATCTTTCTCTCTTCCATGTAAAAAATCAAAACAAGAGCGTAACAACAATTCGGCATTAGCTCAACATGTGATTTTGAGAAATATAGTACTCGTATATGTTTAAATAAAAACTGTCTATGGAGAAAAAAAGCCGAAAATATTTTCGCAAAAATAATGACGATAAAAAGTACGATCTCCACATATAACCCCAATAAAAATATATATTTTTCGAATATATTCTTGTTAAACGTAACTAATTGATTCTAAAAGACAGAACGTGAGATAAATTTAATTCTACATGCATATTAATTTAAATATAGATGATAGATATAATTTTTCCCCAGTAAAGTTACAATTTATTATTCAATCCTTCTTCTTGTACATACTGTATGCAATTCTATGACATTATTTAAATATTTTCCAACAAATATTTCATCAAATTCTTGTTAACTTTTCGTAATTCAATTTTGAATATGATTTAAATTGCCGTATTTAAAATTTATTTTTTAAGTATATTAAATTTTATTCAATACATTTATGTATTTAGGTATACTTACGTCTTAACGCGTTAAGACATTATTTTTAAAATAGAAAAATATCAAAAATGTTTGCACATGTAAATAGATTCCAGAAAAAACAGTGACATTAGATTTTATCGAAATCGCTTTTAAATTTCTTTGTGAAAAATCTTGTGCAAAACACAATAAAGGCAAGAGATGGCAATGACTCCTCGCGGAATCCATAATGGCGGTCCTAAGTCTCCCTGACCATCGCCGCAAAGCTGCGTGTATACGTTCCTGCTCGACGAGAAAATACACGCTCCAAGTTATTTAAAAAACCCATTTCACTCCGTTATCTCGATCAGAGAACATGAAGGGTCGCCTAAAATATTTCTTCCTCTATGTTCCACCAAAGTTTCGAATAAAATGGTCACTCGCTCGTCAATGAAAACAATACTATACAACATAGTTAGATCTTTAATTATTGCGTCATAAATTATGGCTAAAAATGACCTTTCGCTACAGCACTGTATCTATCCAGTAGAACCATAATGTAACCATTTATTTAGTAAATAATAAAACTGTACATTTATTTCTTTTTTTTATTCAATCTGTTAATAAAGCAAAAATCTGGGATAATCGCAGATAGTTTCAACTATATTTAGGAAATAACAAAAGAATGTAGCATATAGCGGTTTGTTCTGGACAGTGGGACACATTGTTTTATCGTCCAGATATCATATAATAAATGTATCCGTCCTCGTGAAACTCCGAATTCGTGTTCCGACCGGAATAACGACGGATGGAAGCGCGCAACGATAACGCTCCGTTAATTATTCTACTCGCTGGGAGAAAAAAGTGTGGAACTCTCTGGCGTTGACTCGCGCGTCGTAACCTTACTTCCTGACTCGTTATTTCGTTGTTCAAGTCGGCCGACCGTATTTGGGTATCTCGACGAGTGATCGCTCGATGAAATTGAGCGATTAGACGTGCGCCGGAGTCGTCAGGGAAGACGAAACGTGACAACGAGATTTCTCGCTATTTACACACCGCTAAATCGTATAACGCGGTTTTGCGGTCCAGTTTCGCGCTCGAAGCACCCTCCTCTTTAATTATATACATCCGTAATTAATCGTCGATATTTCATCCAAACGAACGAGTCAGCCGTGTTTCGCGATTCTTGCGTTTAAATTTGCACGAATTTTGCAATGATCTCCGTGATGGGAAAACGAGCGATTAGAAATGTCTCATGCACCGAGCATCGTGTATCGGATGACATTATACGCTATAGATGAGCGCAGGGTTGGCAGGAAAAATCCAGTGAGTGGAAAAAACCAGAGTAAATTCCGGATTTTACCGGTCCGGAGTTTATCCATTGGAATAATAAACTGGTAAAAACTATAAAACTGCTGCTTTAAAATATAAGAACATGAAGGTGATTCGGTATCGATGCAACTCTCTTCTTTTACTTGATTTATTCATTTCACTCTTCCTGTCTGATTCACTTTTACTTGAATTATCATCATCGTTCTTTTCAAACTTACTACACTTTTGAAAATGTTGTTTCAGTCGTGGAGGTTTTCCACTAACTAATGTTCCACAAGCAATACATTTCTGCTTAATAATGTTGTCAACTGTACAAGATTCAAAGTAAGCCCATACAGGGCCCTTATATCTTCCTCTTAATGTATTTTTACTCAAAATAATCAAATCTATTTATTTGATTATTTTTAATAGAAAAGACCAGATTTTTTGCCGGTTTTTTCCGGAAAATACCAGTTTTTACCACTGGCATGGACTTTATCCAAAAAATATGGATTTATATATATACTTTTGCCAACCCTGGATGAGCGACGATGACATTGAGAGACGCAATGGATATGTCGCTTACACATGCAGACGAATAAATGAGGAAATACTTACCAGCGAGTCTACCTCCGGATCCGCAATGTAATACGGCTTCTCTTGTCTTATCTGTAACACATATAAGTGCGTTAATAATTAGATCCAGCGTAATTGCGGTATTAAAGCTATACGGACGATCGTATCATCTCGGTGCACATACATACATGTACACATAAGCACAACCAAACCCCGCGCCATACCGTTTTATTCTCATCTTCCCACTTCTTTTTTTTTAAGCGATTTCCTTCGCGTGCTTCCTCTTAATTGGACCCCTACTGTTCAATTCGTACGTACAGAAACGGAAACGCGTCGGGGAACGCGATGGAATCCCGGCGGCAAATCGAAAAGGCAGACAGCAATAGAGGAAGTGGAGAGGCGATGAGATTCTCAAGCATTTTCATGGCGCCGTACGTAATGCCCCAATGAGAATGAAAACAAAACTTCCATATTTTTGGCATTTGAATTATTTATTTTACGTTATTTAAAGGAAGGCACACTGAGAGAAAAATGTTTGGTATTTGTAACTATAATTACATATCACTATAATTATGATTATTATTGCTATATACCGTAAAATAGTTGAAATTACCATAAAAATGATTCAAGTGACTATATAATTTTATAGTTACATTTTGGAACAACCATATTTTTTATGGTTGTCCCAAAATATAACTATAAAATTATAGTTACTCGAATCATTTTTATGATAATTATTCAACTATTTTATGGTTATAACAACTATAATTATATAGTCATTTTAGGTTGCCAACTATATACATTTATTGCTAGAACTATATACATAGTTACTGTTATTATTATTATAGTAGTAATAATCATAATTATAGTGATATGTAATTATAGTTACAAATACCAAACATTTTTCTCTCAGTGCAGAAAGAATTGTAGGGTTAATCTCTTTTCAACATCAAGATCAAAACATTAATGTTCGAGCTGATAATATGAGATTAGAGATCTTATCGCCTCTTTTTCTCTTTTCTTTATCTTTCTCTTTTTCTTTCTCTCTCTTTCGTTATGAGATCAATTACGTTTACCACTGAAGAAGCATAAGCTCTCAATACAAATAAATTGTCAAAATAAATTAATCAGAAAAGAAATAAATATTTCTTTATTTTGTTTCACCTCGTGTTCTATATACTTTTACTTTACAAAAAATTAACGAAGGTTCTCTTGAAGTTATTACAACATCGTTATTTGCTACCCGAGGTTGAATACATTAACAGACCCAAAGAGACTTCTCAGACGGATTGAATGACTTCTCTCTTACGGTGTCGAAAGTGTCCGAAGAGTCGAGAAATGTGAGATTTAGTTGCTTCTCTATGAAAGAAAAAACTTCGAATAATGAAATACTGTCCGCACGCACGAATTCTCAGTCAAGAGCGCGTATTCATGAGCTAGAATTCTGAATGAAAGTTCTCGAGTTCCTGTTCCAATGTATAGATAATAAAGGCGTCTCATGCGACAAAAATACTGTCAACTGTACGTAAGGGAGATAGGAAGGAGGACAGTTCTTACATGGCCCTGTCATCGCGCTTTTTCGCCTCCGAGGTAGCGCCATGCAGGTAGGCAAGATTACAAATTATAAACAGCCTGTTCTGTCTTCTGCGCATCCCTACTTTCTTTTACTTTTAATTCTTTATACGCAATTTTTCCTCAAGTGATAGTTGTTTATACACTAACACGTAGAACTGATGCATCTATAAAAAGGTTAGCAACAATTCGAGAAATAAAAAGATTTGCAACGTCTAAAGTAATGAGAAATGGGAAAATTGACGAAATTAGTCAGCGTTTAATTCTACAATAGTTACACAACATATTCCATCTAGCCTACATCGTTTGTATATATAACAATAAAGGAAATAACACCTTATTGAAACAGTGACGTAATATAGATTTTCCGTAAAAGGAAAAAGCGCGGTATCATCGTACGATGATGGCGGAGGAAATCGTTCTCGTACGAGAATGTTCGATGAGAAAACAAACATCGATAGATGCGTATAGAAACGTCAGCTTTTGCTGGCTGTCAGGCACATAACTCAACGCGCGGCGGAGACGGTAAAAATATTGTGCGATAATATTTAGAGAATACTCTCGTTCCGGCACGCGGGGTGTCTGTTCGGGGGAGGGGGAGGGGAGGGAGGGGGCGGCCTCGTGTGCACGTACGAACACCACATGGAGGAAAATACACATGTGCATTGCGTACGTGGTGTGCGCCGATCCTGCCGAGAGATATACGAAGCAGCTGCTTTGGAGGCTGCTGCTGTTGCTGCTCTCTTGCCTCTACTATTGCTGCCGCCCCCTCGAACCCTCCGTAAAACCCTTCCCTAATTCTAAGCAGTTGGAGAATTCTAAGTAGACTGGAATACGTGTGACACGAGCGAAAGATTTTCCAATTTCTTTTCTCTTATTTCTCGCAATATTAAATACTCTAAATGGTATTGTACAACATTAATAAGCTTCAAAAAATATCTTTTCATTTAACACAGTTGCGTTTATAATTGCGAAAAATTTTATGCAAATAAAAATGAACAGAAATAATAAAGAGAAATTAATTTCAATATTCTCTTCAGCAATTTTCATTATTTTTATTTTCTCTCGTACATTTTGCGATAATAATGTGATTTTTAGTTATTTGAAAAAATAACAACGTAATGTCAAATATTACATTTGTCCTGTACATGTTTTCTAGAGCTAAAATAAAGAAGAACCTTTATTTTTTCTAACTTTCTCAAAAACGAGACCCGATTCTCAAAACCCTTTAACAAAAGAATAAAATAGAAGAATAAAATTTCTTCCAGGAAAGCAGATAAAAAGGGACTATAATAAAAGACATTTAACTTTCTTAAATAAACTAATATCCTCTTATATCCGTTACAATCGTTAAAGTAAGTATTTCCGAAAGTTCTTCACGCATATTATCGTTAGTTCGTGCATATAGGAGCTTAGAGAGAATGTAGCAAAAATGAATGTTTTTACAGAAATCGGTTAACATCAGAAAGGATGTTCTACACAATAACGCAGATGGTTCTAAGCTCTTTGAAGCAAACAAATTCAAGAAAATTTGCAGATGTAAATTTGACTCGCTTCGACAAATACTCTATTCAAACAATAAATATTTTACAATCTCTTCAAAAGTAGAAATATGCGTGACAGAAAATTAATTAATTTGAGAACTCGTTTCTATTCAATCTACGCACAAAGTTAAAGTCCGCTTTCAAAATACTCTTTTCAGTGTAAGTAATTAACATGATTGTAAACTACCCAAAGTACTGAATACAATTCGACATTTAAATTAGTGAGAGTTAATGAATGATTCCAAGTGATAGGAATGACTGCACGGCACGTGTTTTTGTAAACGACATGACACGAGCGAGCGTCGAGTCGCGAGGAGGAGAACCAGCCACGGCAGAGCGCGTGATACCGCGTGATCGCTATTGCGTGGTAGCAACACGTCAAAACGGGGAGATATTTACGCTAGAACGCGATAATTGCGAAATTGTAGCACGGCAAGACCGCTGGCGATAGTCGTGCGGCTCGTAACAACAGAATTAAACGTGTATACACGCCTGGTGTTGAAACAATTAAAACGAGAAAATCTGAAACGTGTCGGAAATGCACAAATCGAAATAGTTCCAGAAAGCTTACAAATGGATCGAAGTGATCCTGAAATATGTTTTGTTTCACAAATATTCGCACCGTTGCGACACGACGTTAAAATCTTAATGATCGTATTAATCAAGACAGAACTTTTAATTACATGCAACAACAGGTATGCAATTTTGATATTGTACGTAAAAATATATCAAAAGTACGGTGTATGACTTTCCTCTCTCTCAACTGCTGAAAATTTCATGATAAAATAACAAATTTAAATTAAATATCTTTAATTTAAAATTTTATATTAAACATACCGCTTTAGTTACATTTTAATATTCGATTAATTTCTAATTAAGATTTGATGATCACTGTAAATATAGTCTAATTCACCGATAGCATTGCGATAACATCGGATAACGGAAAACCGGTTCAAATATAACCTACCTATACTAACGAGTTTTACGTGGGTTTCGTTTAGTTAATTGACCTCGAATCTTAAAATTGAAGCATCTCGATAGCGCAGTATTTCTCGTAACGGCTTGTTAATTCTTTAGATCATATTATAACGTATTATCAATGATTTTCACATAAAGATTTCTCAATGTAAAAACAATTTAATGAATATAGTGTTTATAGCATTTTTGTATATGGGGTCCTTGAATCATGAAACTGAACAGAAGGAAGTTAATAAATGTCACAGAAGAATGAGAACTGACAGCTTTGAATAGAATGCATTCATCTAGTAATCATCATCAATGCAGGAACAGCATTTTATGAGGGTTTAATGTTACTAGAGATAGGTGCATTCTAATTATACCAATAAATCGCTACAGGATCTTTCTTCTCCGGTTCTCTCACTCACCTCTTTCTTTCCCTGCATTTGTGAGCACGACACAGAATCGAGATATCGTGATGAGTGTCCGCACGCCCACGTCTCCATATTCAGTACTTTGGCAGTTTCGACTCATTGTTTAAAATACAATTAAGTATACAAAAGGGAGAAATTTCTCGGCCATGGCTAATAATAGCGATACATCATGTCTTAGCGATGCGCATATATAAATTATTAAAAATTATTTAGATTACCTATAAATAAATAGCTTTCTTAAGCTCGTACACATAATGCTTAACTGTCTCTCGTGTTTCTACTGTTAAACGGTAGAAAAATAATAGATTTATAACATGGTTAATCATAAATTTCCTTATGCAACAAAATTCTTTTAAAGTCAAGTCTTTATAAGTGGATAAGTATGGATCAAGGGCTTTTATTCATAGTCGAACGAACATCGCGACGCTCATTTAACCGGCTAGATTCACGTAAAGGTCGGATGCACGGCCGTGAGGCGGCGAAGCGCAAGTAAATTTTTCGACGCGGTCGCCGGCGATGATCGCGAAAAAAAAAACGAGATGCCTCTTTTGACGGGTGAAAAAAAGGTGTAACAAAGGCACAGCGTAACGTAGCGCAGCGGGGGTACACCCGATGGCACGTTGCAGCCAGGCAACGACGTCGAAGGTAACGAGTGCGCGCGCGCGCGCGAACCAAGAGATAGAGAAAGAGGACGAAAAGTCCATGGCGAGAGAGAGAGAGAGCGAATATAGAAGGGCAGAAGAGGGCACGGAAGACTGGAACATCGCGGTGTGCCCCCATAGGACACACGATGCGTGGACCGCAGGGGGGGATAATAGTGGACCCATTGAATAGATCAATTTACAATGGCAGAAAATGAGCAGTTCCCCACTCCCATCTTGCATCGTATGCCCCTCTCGATGCCTCTTCGGCCCCCCTACTGCCATCGCCGCGCCGGCTCGACTCTCCACACTTCGGTGCTTCTCACGACTCCGACCAACTCCGACGACCGCCGTGGTCGGGCCCCAACTGAAGACCGCGCATGCGCCATGTCCCACGGCAGCCATGGCGCATGCGTGCACGCATGCACGCACGCACGCACGCATAGTACGCACGCAACGAAACGCAAAATAATCCCGCGCACAGCATGCGGCCCTTTTGTCGTACGGCCCTATCGCCGCGCCGCGCCGCGGCGGTACTGATACACGGGGTGAGAAGGGGACACACCGAGGGATACGAGGGCATGGCTCACACGGCACGCCTCAGAAACCGCCGCAAGAGGATTGTCACCTGCTTATCTGCCGACGTGCATCGTCGCGTGTGTGTGGGTGTGTGCGTGTGCGTGAAATCTACGCGCCTAGTGACGGCCTTCAAAGGCAACGCTCGCTTGAATATCGATGCTTTACAAAGTGTTGATTTGAGATGTATGAGAAAGTAAAAGAAAATAGATATCACTATACAATGCAGGTATTCCTAGAGGCGATTGCATGGAACGCGCAAGAAAGAAAAATGAGATACGTTGATTTTAATTTAGTTAAATAGTTTCAAATTAATGCAAAGCGAATTTTAAGTTATTAAAATGGTTATCGATAAAATATTGTAAATGAAATTTTAGTTAAATGAGATAATATTACATTAAAAATAATCTTCGAATTTTCAAACCTTGACAAATGCTAAAAATAAATGTATTACTCACATTGAAACAATGTAAGAATATCTGATTGAAATAATAAAAGTGACAATAATCAATTAATATAAATTAATTATAAATCTCTCAAATAGATGTTTTATTTAGCGTATTATATGCACTCTAAATACTGTATACAATTTTAATTATGATAAAATGTAACACAATTTTCTTTTTAATAATTTCATCACTTTCATTTATCCAATTGTATCCATTTTCTTTTCCGCGTGCGTTGACTGTATTACTATTAATTTAGCGTTATTAAAAAATCAGGATATACATATATATAGAAGAAAAGACTACATGGCTGTCAATTTCTACTTTGATATTCTACGAGTTTAATCACGAAACTAACTTCGACGCCAAAAGGGACAAAGAAAAATATTCGAATAAAAAACGGGATCATATCGAGGCGATATACACACACGGCATCGTCGCGGAATAAACGTTCCGTAGTCATAAGCATTATTTTTCGCGCGTTTCGAAATGCACCTCATGGTGCGCCTTATTAAGATGCAAATATCATGTCAGTTTCGCAATGCCGCCGGGTATCTTCAACGATATACACCAGTGTGTAATAACGTCGACGCTGGTTCGTAGATAAATAATATAGCAACGCGAGGTTCGCGATTTTTACGCGAGTTTCACCATGTTCCGCTTCCTCTATCGAGGAAAAAGAGCTGAAGAAAAAGATACGCGTTCGATTATCTCGAAAATCTCGATACGCCGGATATTTGGAGCGTTCTTATCATTTGGTGCTTTTCGGCATCAACAAGACAAAATAATGTATACATACGGGTCGCCACTTTATCCTACCTCGCGCCGAGGCTTAATTCTTATCGTTATCTCAGCATAGCGTTGCTCAAAGCCACTGCTACCGTATTACCGACACCCTATATTTAGATGTAAGACTCGACGAATTTCTTTTTCTTCCAGCGATAATAACGCGAAAGTGAACGTAAGTCATTCGTAAAAATTCTTATAATCGTATATCTATTGTGCAACGATACTGTTAAAACATATTATCTATTACCTTGGTTAAGAATTTGAATTAATGATGCATCGTGCATAATATAAAATCCTACGGTATCGGTTCAGTCGCATAATGCCACATGAAAATAACTGGAGGTTACAGCTATCTAACGGTGCAACGTAATGGGTCCGATACCCTTCAATCTAAATGTGCTGAATTCGTTTGCATCGCTTCACCATAAGCAAACGAACGTGATAACATTTTTATTGCCCGTTCTGTCGTCTCAACTTAATATGTCGTCGTGAATGCTATATTCCTAGAAAATTACGTAAAAAAAAGGCAGGCAAAAGTGAGTTTTCTTCATTATAAACTATACTTTATTCAAAATATCATTTTCGATTTATTTCCAACTCTAATCACGTTTCTCATAGCAAAAAAATTTATTATTCCCAGCATAAACCGAGAGATTACATTTGTCCTCGCTACATATCGTATAGTTGAATATATCAACGCTTAGTTCCATAAGTCATTAATTAGTTCAATATTTTTGAAGTAGAGCACTTTGAAGCACTCGAATAACAGGAAGAAAACGTGACACTTTCAAACATGAAATATTCATTTTTTTTACTTTCCTACTATCGAATGACATTAGTCGTTCTAACCATGTATATCACGTTATCGATGCAAATGTCTGTGGCGAGCAAATTATCTATAGAAAACACGCGGAAACTCGCATTGGACTGGTTATACTTTCCGAGACCTTCGAATAGACCTACGTGCGCGATCTGGCACGCAGACGGCAAAATGGTATGTTTTAAAAGGTCCAAATCGTTTCACGGCATGCGGCCCCATGGGCTCTCGAGTTACCTACGCGTGTCCTTGGGGGGACCTGCCTCAGGTGAGCCGCTAGAGGGAAAGAAAAAATAGGAAGACTGAAGAGCAAGAGAAGAGAAAAAACGCGCGCGAGAGCGAGCGAGTCTTCTGCTTCGTAGCTAGAAGCAGAAGCCTGTATACCCAGGCCCCAGGTCTTTCAACGGTAATCCTAAAAATAAGTCCCACGGATAGGCAGGGTTCTTCTTCTTCCAGGCACGCTAGCGAGTCTCGTGCGTGGATCTACTGTTTCGGGACGGAGACGAAATCTTGGCGCGTCCTCGTGACTCATGCCAAGACCCGAAAATCCCTCCGGGACATTCTCTCACGGAAGAATCGTGCGACAAAGTTCGCCGAACAAAATTGTTAGATTTTCGCAAAGATTTCGTCCAAGGATCTTTTAAAACATACCAAGGAATTTTTAAAGCAGCTCACAATTATAACTGTTGTGACTATATTTAAAAAGTCCTTTTATTTTTAAATCACTCAAGTAAGTCAGTCAGTCTGCAGGTAAAAAATATCAGTCAGTATCGGACTGTCATAGCAGTCACATCACATAAATTTACACATCTTAATTTTAACTGCCTGACTAATATTTTTATACATTTATACATTTTTTATTCGTTGATTTTGGATTAGTAAAATTTTATATATTTATATAATTTTAATCTCTAACTTGGTGACTAACAGTTTTAACAATTTCACATATATTTATTGACCTTATAATTATAATGACTGATATAAGCAACTTGACACGCATCTTATCTACATCAAATGTTGGAAGGATGTAGAACCATGACGGTGAGAGAGTTCTTTAACATATTTATGAAATTGCTTGTAGATCTGTACCTAAAAGATTATAACTTATAGACAATTGTGAAAAATTTTCTATCAACCGATCGTCCAACCGATTGCGAGCAATTTGTTTTCACTCTCCGTTTATGGTGTTGCATCTGATTTACATAAGAGACGGATCACATATAGTTACAGGATTAGTTCAATACATCCTTTGTAACGTTTAATATTGACTTCTTTAATGCGTTTCTATTCTGCGAATTCGAAGCATCTGATGATGGCACAATTATGATGCCGAAACATGTAATGTAACACAATGTAATATTAAGGTTTTTAAATTATATTCATATTTTTATATCAATTTATTGGAATGTAAAAATTGTTAACGTGTTACACATATATTATATCTGAACTTGACTCTAACTTGCCCTTCTATGTTCTTGATATTATTGTTAAAAAATATTATCTCAATCATATACGATCATTTATTAATTGCCCATGTAAATTTGATTTCCAAGAAAAACTATTTTCTCTATTACTTTATATTCTATTAATAAATTCATAAATCTGATTATAATGTTACAACAGCGTAAATATATATACCCACGTCGAATAAGATTCGCCAATGCGATATGACATACACACATATCTATATCCATAGTCCATACATATAGTCTTTCTTTATATATTTAATATTCTGTAAACTTACTTGTTTTGAGAAAACGGCAATGTCCTCGTTGAAGCTTTCTGACGAACAAACGTCGCCACCGGCTACACCAGGCTCGCGCGGTGTACACGTTGCCAACTCACACTTTTCGAATATGAGTGCGAGAAGCGGGAACAGGGGGTGTCTGAAAGAAGAAGTGAGAGAATACGCTTAAAGATAACGGGAATAACGCAAGATGAGTGAGTGCGGCAGATACGCGCGCATTATACTAACGGAGCGTATGCCGCCGCCGTTTCGCAAAGCAGCGCCGATCTCGGTAAGCATGCTAATTAACGCTGCAATCTTTCGAGCTTCTGGCCGACGCGACGGCTTCTGGCCCGATTCATTTCTGCGAAGAGACGATAAATTATTATCCGATGCTCGCGTTATATTACATAACGACGAGCGTCGGCACTTGCGAAAGGAGGCGCGAAAATCTCCAACGAAACAAACTTGGCGTTCACGAACGTAATTAATTAAGATCGATATAATTAGCAGGTCACGCGTGCGTGCGTGTATGTAGTAAAGAAATGTACGCAGTAATAATGCTTCTGCGTGACGACAAGTGTCTTAAGGGGATGCTGGAGGGACCCAATTATCGACATTGCAATTTAATCAAAATCTCCAAATTGACTAAATGGAATAAAAAATCTTTTTACAGGATTAAAGTAAATGCAAAATCCTGACGTGGTGCAGTGGATTTTATACCAAAATAAAAAAAAAGTTAAAAAAATTTTTTACTTTTTTTCGATTTTAGTATAACATCTACTGCACCATGTCAGGATTTTGCGTTTACTTTAATCCTGTAAAAAGATTTTTTATTCCATTTAGTCAATTCGGAGATTTTGATCAAACTGCAATGTCGATAATTGGGTCCCTCCAGCATCCCCTTAAAACGATAGACCAATACACTCATACCCTAGGCCTTCCCGTGCAGAAGAGGTCTCTTCGCGAGTGTTCCGGATGTCCGTAAATAGCGTTTCTCGAATCGTCGAGGCGTGGCCCGTGCGAAAAAGCGATCTGAATCGACAAAGTCTCGTCCGCACGGCGGTAGACCGGCAGCACGTTTTTCTCTTATCCGCGTAGCGTTTTTCTCTTATCCGCGCGTGACCGACGGGGTGGGCCGCCTGTTAGCGCTACGAGGACGCAATTAACTCGGACAACCGTGGTGGCAGAAGAAGCAAAATCCGGCGTGAAGCGCTTAACCGAAAAGCAGGGGACTATTTTACTGCTATCCGCGTGGAAAAAATCATTCCGACGCTTTTATACAGCCATTAGATTTCGCTCCCTACATTTTGTTACGCGGAAGAAAACGACGTTACACACGGAAACCCAAAGCTGATTAGCTAATTACAAAATCCTCATATACGTATTGTATACATTCCTATGTATTACATCGACATTTTTCCTCGCTCGAGCGCACATTTTACGCAGAATAATTTTATACTTTATTTTCTGCAAGATAATATCAGCAGTAATCAAAGAATTCACACAACTTGTACTATTTTTTCCCCTGTAGCTCAATTTATAATTTATTCGTGATTCGTGAATATACGCATATACAGTATATGTCCCGAAACAAATTGAATAATGATGAAGAAAAATCGATAATAACGAAGAAAGGATGGATCTCTTTTGCCAATAACAACCAGGGCAAAATAACACGTGTGTTCGTGGAAAACTGCGAATTCAATGGAAAGGGCATGCTAAATAATAAAAACAGTCGGAAATCGTTCTTACTTTCCTCGGATAACCACGATAAATTCAAACACGCATCTAAAGATACCACTCAAAATTTAACTATCTTAATAACAAATCGATACAAGTCATTTAAATTAAATTCAATTAATTTGTTTTTCAAATAAAAAAGCTAAACATAAAATGGCTATATTAATAAATAGTGTTTATAATTAAAATCTAATAAAAAATACAAAGTGCTACCAAAAAAGGATTATTTGGCTGTATGCTCTTTTTTTAACTTTGTTTATAAGTATTTAGCCATTATTTACTTCTACATTGAAAGAATTATTTATCAAGAATTCTTAAAGCAATTCCAAATAAAAAGAGATGGAGAAAGAGAGCGAGAGAGAGGAGAAAAAGTGGAAGAAATTGTGGTACCACTCGATACGACGTAATATTCCTTTATGCGTATAAGCGCATGTTACATGTAAAGTACGGTTACCAATGCAGCATTAGGAGGATAAGATAAGATTAGGCTGGTGCCTGTGCAATATCGTTGCAACCAGGGTTTTAATATCGGGGTTTAAAGCTGACACAATTCTATGACGTTCCGAAATTATTTATTTATTCATTGATTTAATATATAACTACTTTGTTATAACAACGTTGCAACGTTCACAGAGAAATTTTTCTGTTTAAAGTTTACATTACATTGAATCAATTATGTATATGAAATTTAACCTTAGTGCAAAAGATGGACGTATATATACCATTGCAGCTATGCAAATGCAATTGACGTCATTTTGAAGTTAAACGAAGCTTACATCAACTTCTAATTTGCGTTCGTATCATTAACATTTTACTTTAGAATTTGTCAAACGATCAGTCGTATGTAAATTAGAGACACAGGTGGACAAGAGGTGATAAGAATGTACATGTAATCTAAATACAACCCACAAAGTAAATTTCTACAAAACAACGCGTTTAATTTGTATGCACGTTTATTTCAGATGACTGTTACCGAATATAGTATTTGCAATTGACAGTGCTATCCAACAAATTACGCACAACCATCTAAAATATCACGAAAGTAACTAAGAAAATCCCTCAAACACATTCGATCATTTTCTTTATCTCTTTCAAAGCACTCGACAATCTCAGCACAATAATTAACAAATGCAAAAAAATATAAAATCTTTACCTTAAAAACAGTTTTACAAGTAGATAATCATTAAACATCGCTATATAACTATATTCAGTATATAAATAGGCTATACCCTTCTATATGTATATTATTGTATATACGAAATGTATGACGACGTAGTCGGTTAAAAGTGACCATTGACACGGATTTTTAGCTCGCGGTTCGTCCCGTCCCATGGGGTTATACAATTTCAAAGACGGCGATGAAACCCTAGAGGGGTCTCGGCCCTCAAGAGGTTCAGGGGAGAGAAAGAGAGAGAGAGAGAGAGAGAGAGAGAGAGAAGGAGCGGCGCGAACGTGGTAGCCGCCAAGGTGGAGGCGTTGTGTGCGCATGGTAGCGGGTCGCGTCTCGCGGCGTGGCGGACATAAAACGATTCGGAACGAATTTCGACAAATTGACGTGGCCGCCGCGAGCAACGTACTCTCCTGCGCGCCAACCTAACCGAACCGACCACCACACTGAACGCGAACCGACCAGGCGAAAAAAAGTCCCGTCGACTTTACCCCTTTCGCCCGCCACCACCGCGGTATGGTCTTACCTAGAAGTCTTTTCTTGTTTCTTTTTTTTTTTTGCTTTCTCCTTGTCCATATCTCTATCGCCTCTACTTGCCGCGGTTCCTCCTCGGACTCTATCCCCAGCACTACGGACCGTCCACCACCGGATAATCGATTTAACGCAACGTCGCGCGGTAATTGTTAATTTAGATTTTTCGCTCGCTCCCAGCCGTATTGAAAGCTCTTCTGTCTCCTTCTTATACTTCTAATGAGATCCAAAGATGGTGATTCGTGAGATCGTTTTCGAGTAGATTAGGAAACGTTTAAAACATCGCACGGAATAAAGTGGTATGATAATTTTTTTGATAGCGCAGAGTCAAATCCGGCGAATAAGATTCGTAATTTTCAACGTGTGCGATCGGGGGGTGATCCCGATTGATCACGGCTCGATTGGACACCACCAATCACAGCGACCGGTGCTTAGGAGCTTTGTAGTCTCAAGCGCTGTGAGTGGCTCGTGTCCAACTGGGTGCCACCCGTGCGATCTCACCAATCTCGCTTAGTGGCTTAGTATTTTCTCAGGCCTCGCGAGGATCCAATCGGATGCCACCACAGTTTCCCCTTTTATATACGCGGTCAGGAAAACCATTGAGTGCGTTACGAGCCGTGATTGAACGTGGCGGTACTTTAAGTGCACGTTTCTTGAAAACGCGGTCGCGCGCGGCGCAACAACAAAGTGCAACGTCGATGACAAACGACGGGCAGAAACGAGGTGTCAGAATGACGGAACCGCAAAAGGTAATGATATGATTGGGCCGTTGTACGCCGTACGGGGGATGTTTGCGGTTTTGCGGTTTCCGCCCCTCAAATCGACGCCTCTTCCCTCTTTTCTCCTCCCACCTCTCTGTCTCTTTCTCTATGCCTCCCCCGCTCTCTCTCTCTCTTCCTATGTCTCTTATTGTTGCGCACAAACATCGTCAATTTCACGCTTTGCCGCGGTTTACGATTTGCTAAACGACAGCGACGCGTTTTCGCGCGCATAGCTTAATTTTGTTAGCAGCGTTGTAATTTCGAGAGTGTCTTTCTATTTTGTCGCAAATGCGAAAAGGACCATTGGACCACGATCACAATACTAGTGTGCGCAATAATCGAATATAAAACATGAGTCATCTCGAAACGATAAATCGAAAGAAAAAAAGATAATAAAAAAAATTATTCCAATTGGCTGTTATTTATAAAAATAACCGCTTTTAAAGCATTCCGACTAATTAATAATTTCTACAAGACTTGTAATAGGAGGTACATTACGTAAAAATAAATTCGCGATGTTTATTAATCAAGTCAGATAATGTTTTCATGCAAGAAAAAAATTTTCAATAAAATCGTATTAATTTTCAGTCCAGAATCAAATAAATTTTATGATATAAGAGACAAAATAAATAATCATTTCGAAATTTTATTATTTTTTCAATTTATAATATATTACTGTTAAGGGGATTCTAAAATATACACGTACGGAATAGTAGTCCACAGACTAGTAGTTTGCACAAAGAAACAACGTAGGCAGGAATTCTTAGAATTGGACTTGGACATTTAATTAAAACGTTATTGTTATACAAAAATTTATGTGTATATGTGCGTGAGATATTTGTTGATGTAGTACATGTAGTGATATGTCCGAATAATTAATATAAGATATCTGCAGCTTCTAAAATCTTTACATTTTGTAAATCATTGAGGTTTTAGAAAATTTTCAGAAAATTACAAACAAATGCGTCTGTACGTTTCTTTAACGAATTATTCGTCTCATAAAGATGACAACTATTCGCGTTCTTTCGTATAGGAAGCCAAAGTTATATCAATTAAATAGCCAATTGTGAAAATATCTGTAGTACTTATTATTATATTTCACCGAGCAATCGATAATTGAACGATAATGCTTCTCCATTTGTCGGACGATAAATTGTCACTCGGATTTGCGTAAGACTCGCAAGACATCTAATCCGTAAACGACCCCTTGCATAAGCCGTCAAGATTCTAGTGATTGGTTAGTTTCATCTTCAAGTTACATCCGGTTCTTACATAAAACTTCACTAGGATAATCTCGACGTCATGATAAAAAAAACTATTAAATTCAAAATTTTTTCTGCATATTATTTTAAACATTTATGAGACAAAGCCATATTAAATATATTACTGTACAACACTTTTTAGTTGCCAAATTAAGAGGATATTAAAAAATACGTGTGTTATTATTTAAAAGCGTAGTATAAAAATATCGTATGTTATTTGTACATATGTAAAAACAATTTGTAAAATATATACCTCTATATTCCTATTTTATTGCAAACGTCAATACGTTGGTAAGATCCATCTTTATACATTTATGCAACTTGTTTTAAAAATCATTCTGTACGATGAAAAAAAATGCATTAAGATATCCCTGACTTTTTTCTTTTTGCCGCGCCTCATTACATTCGAGCATGAGCAGCATCAATCTCCTCGCACGTGGAAAGCCCCGCGCACTTTAATAGACGAATTAATCGACTCGGATGAAACATGGGACAAAAATGGCTACGGACTCTGCAATTGAACGACTCAATCCGATCTTGCCAAAAGCGTATTCTATACAAATCGGAATACATTGTATCTATAGACGCGAATATTTTTAACATACAGTTTTTTTCCACATGCAGCACGAGCGGAAAAAAACACATACACGGCACATAGTGTGAGGTCATAAATATTTCCAAAATTAATTCGAAAGAAAAATAAAAATGTACGTTTTAAACGATTGAAATTTCATATTGAAAATGATTTAAAATACTCTTTGTTAGTTATTTTTGGTCAATTTTTCAAATAAAGCAAGTTAATTCAAAATTGATTCGAAATTGATCTTCAACGCCTTTCAATTAATCTTCCAAATAACCGAGACGTAAGATATCGCCATATGATAGAGAGGAGTAGGGTCTTCTCAACACAACGGCGTATTCGTGCGTAGACGCATCGAAAGCGCTTGTTCCAGCGCGGCGGCGCTGTTCCGAGAAAGTTGTGGAATCTCCTGTTCGGGTCGGACCGGGGCACACGACGAATGGACAAATTACAGGGTGCACGGAATAATGAGGCTCCCGTTCTAGGACGTACATCAGAAATCGGGGCATCTCGCGGCTATAAATCACGCGGAACACGGCCGCGCCGAGCCGCTCCGTAAAACGGCCAATTGACGTGTTTCAGCTTGTACGAACGATACGCGTGGCACGAGCTGCTATACGGCTATAATGATGTAGAGGAAAACAAATACAGGTATCTTCAACGAAATATAAAAATAACAAAGTAAGAATAAAGAGAAATACTACCTACGTACCACGATATGCGCGCGATAATAGGTTTTTTTGCATATATTCTCTATACTTTCATGTATACTTTATATTGTGTAATTTTGCGGTAATTTCTTATTAAATTTACATATATATTGCCACCGAGCACAGGCGAGAAATTTCCGTATAAAAACAGTATAACGTATTGTCGCCACAGAGAAACGGAAAGTATCGTTAAGCCGGGGACAACTCGTTGAAACGTGGTTATCTCTCGAGTTAACCATATGGTAATGATATTCTGTCCGACTTTGCGATGTATCACAAAAACGATATCGCGCGTGATACGGAAAACTGAATACGCTACTTCGAAATGTAACGTCAATATTATGCGTGATTGAGAATCCTAATGACAATCTTAAACTATCGATTCATTGTCTTTTGATATTTCGGTAATTTAGCAGCCAGACTTTCTGCTTGATACGTGCATATTTTCTTATTCGCAATATAATTTCAGTATAGACTATGTATGTGTACAGTATCATGAAATATTCAATAGCATTCTTGTATTTTTCTTAGTAACACATAAATTATTAATGTCATTAATTCTCGAAAATGATAGACATTTTAAATTGCTTTTCAACTTGTATTTATATTTATTCCGTTATAATACAATATTAATTCAATGCAAACATCTACTTTTTAATAATAATCGAAACGGGAAAATATTTCTTTCTAAAATAACAACTATAATATCGAAACGTTAATAACTTTACAGATATGCTTATTCTCGATATAGCAACTCTATCACTAACCGGAAAAAGAAAGAAGAAGGCCACCTTCCTTTCGAAAGCGCGGGAAGAAATCATGGCGATCTAGCAACGACTTGTCCGTTACGGGCAGTTGTTGAGAGGCAGGTCGAGTAGACCGATTCAGAAAATCAAATGGCCACGACGAATTTATGTGCATTTCAAGTTTATCCGGCGATCGCTCTCGCACCTGTTTCTCGCCGAAACATCCCGCTTTGGAAAATGGAACATTTATCGATACATACTTTTATGCAAATTTGACAAGTAACGATAGAGACAGATTATAACATAACACATAATCATCGGCGATTAGCACAATTATTAGGTGTTGTTGTGCACTTGTATTTAAACCTATATAAAGTTATACCGTACTAATTGAAGGATCGTCGTAATGGCAGCTAAAGTGTGCATAATATCGCGATAGCTGTATTTAGAAGTCTATACACGAATGTGTTCGTTATCACCACGCAATAATACTCGTTTTACTGATCGGCACCGCATTGCGCGACACTTTCGACACTTACGTCTCCGTATCCGATATCCGATAATAAAAAGTATATATTATATATGAGAAAAATGCAGAAAATCTCACTCACCCGTATATGGCGTCCTTATCACGTTTGTGGACATCGGGCACCGCGGAGGCCGCGGCCGCAGCTGCCGCCGCGAGAACGTGTTGTGGAGGCTGAGGAGGAGGCGGTGGATATTGGGGGTGGGCTGGACCCATCCCTCCCAAGTGTGGGCTATGATGGAGACCGGGAACACCGCGGGCACTACCATGTGGATCGTATAGCCCTGCGCCTCCACCGCCGCCACCGCCCTCGAGGTAACCCCCGTGCAGCCCGCCATCATCGTACTGCAACCACAAAATTACACAAATTTTACAAACTTTCAACAACTATAATACACTTATATACTCGTATATAATATTTACCGATGCTTTTTCTTATTCAAAGATTATTATCTATCGATATAATCGTATACATATGTACGTTCTTGATATCAAATACTTGAAATGGAATTGTTACAGCTTCATCTACAAACTTAAAAATACTGCTTGCAATTATCTGTTAATGCTTCTTAATATCGTAATCTTCGGGTTTCTTTCCTATTTAAATATAGGCACTGTCTATTCTGGCGTTGGCTCGTAAATTTAGAATCGCGCGTTTATAACGATTGACGCAAGGACTCGGAGTGCACACGTGGATAGAGAACGTTCAAAAGGTGACACGGGAAAATTACTATTAGAATGTCACGTCTTTTTTTAAGCTTTTTTTAATCTTGTAACAATCGTAACTTCACGACTTCAAGTTCGTAAAACAAGCATCAGCCGGCGCTTCTAAGAACAGCAAACTATCATTCTACAGTTGTAGTATCTATGTAATTGCAATGCAATTAAATTTAGGAAATGAAAAGTTTTATGGACACATCATCGATGCACAGTTAAACCTATTAAAAAATTTGGAATTTTAATAATTCTTAGAAAGCAAGTAAAAAATTAATTTTAATTCCTGCTCTTAACTAAAAACTCCTTTAATTTACCAGATATTTCAAAATGTAACCTATCCTACTCGTGAGATAATGGAAGGTTACCTTATATATATTGTATAATAACGAAAGAGAAAATGCTTTTAACTTGATATTCTATTTTCAAAAGACACAAACACTTATTGGAATTTTTTCGTGGAATCACAACTGTCAACTTTTTCTTCGTTGCATTATCACTGTGAAGGAAAAAGATAAGATTTAATCATCGTTGAAGAAATAATTAATTACGTACCACCGTACGACCGGTAATAAATAACCGCGTATTTTCAATTACGCTTAGCCGCACCGACCTTCTAGAATACCGCAAAAAAAGGGGCAAGGCCTGGTGATTTCTAGCAATAAAGTTTTCGCGCAAAGCTGATGGATGACAAACAAAAGTGCACTAATTGTCGGATAAATTCGAACGTGTGGCATATCGATAGAACAGAGAGAGAAAGAGAGAGAGAGAGAGAGGGGGGGGGGAAGGGGGGACCTTTGATAGGTGGAAACCTGGAGACTCACTTCAATCGATCGCGATCGCGATCGGTTGGTCGGCCGATCGAGAACGGAAGCAATGATTTTCCCGGCGTCCTCCAAGCCCGCGGCTTGTCACGTCAGTCTGCACGGGAACGAAAGCAAGCCGATTATTATCGCTAATTGCTTAATTCTAGCGTTGGGCTCGGAATGCCGCGTAATTTCGTCGCGAAAACAAGAACCGGCGGGAATTTGCGATTATCAGTTGCAGCAAAGTGGGAATATGTGTTCGATACAATCCGGAAGAATGCAATTGCGTCCGTTACTGAGAAGCAATACTGTAAAAATTGGAAATAATCTGCAATCCGCGTTCTGCTTAATTTAATTCACCTTTGGCGCAATTCGCTCCTGAGAACGACGAGAAAGGTATATCAACATCTGTTTAAGTAGAAGGAAAAATGTACCGATGTAATCTGAAAAAAGCGATTGTAATTGTTACCAATTTCTCCCCGCCTTTCATCTAATTTGATTTATCTCGCGCTGAATACCGAATTCAAGATTGCGATGGAATTGCGAAAATTACGCGGTGCGAATCGAATCGCTTGCAATTACACTTGAATTAATCCGATACGCACGTTGAAGTTGCTCGAACGATCCATTTCGGAGCAGAATGCGAGTATGGCGAGTTGGTTAAAATTCGCCCTTTATTCCAGCTGCGCACAACACGTCCTCGTTTCCGTATCGCGAAAGTGCGGTGATAAGGCGTCGCAAAGAACCGAACAAAGTACTGAATTAATATGTCCGATATCTCATTGGCGTTTCTCGTATTTGCTATGCAACTTTCTGCGGGCTGCTTTTCAACTTGATAAAACCGAAAAACCTTGATTTCCAATATATATTAAATTAAAGACATTTCGGCGTATTGCAGATATTTTGACCAGAAAAATTAAATATATTTGCCTTTTCTCCAACTAAGATGTAATGGCAAGCTATAGATGTTATTTGGGACAGTTATTTCTTGTAGAAATAATTTTGTGCATAATATGAACACGTGATAAATTATTTTTCAGCCATCACGAATATTTCCACTTTGCGGTCTCTCTCTATTCATACAGATAAAATTTGCACTTATCCGAGAAAAACGACATAAAAGTAATTCTTGTCTGGTAGCGCGCGAACATGTCGCGTCTAGAATGCGAAATTCTCTGAACTGGAGGACTGAAAAAGGCCGCGGACAATAATTCACCGTCATGGCAGTATGAAGATATCACTCGACGGGCGAGCAGAATATCTTAAAGGGTAGCAGGAAGAAGAAGCGGGGTAAAAGGTTGTGTCTCAAGACGCGATCATGGACGACTCGCGACGAACGTCTACCGACGACGAAGCTCGTCGTCATGCTCGCCGTCGTCGTTGTCGTCATCCTCGTCAACGTCGTCGAGAAGATTCGCATTCGCGACAAAGCCGGTTCGAGAGAACGAGCTCGTGCGCGCGTCATATACAATACAATCGCTATTTGCAGACAGCGTTAATTTGTGACCGAAACGAAGAAGTTACAGTGCGACGTCGCGACGATGTCGAGCTGTCACCTAGACGTACGAGCAATGGACCGCCTTGACATGGGAGATATTTCCGGAAATGGTGTGAGAAAGAGACAAACGGATTTTTACTTTTTATAGTGAACCCTAGGTTAGTCTCTTTCTCTTTCTGAAATAAATTATTTCCCTCTTCTCTTATATTAAGTAAATTTAATTGAGTTAATTCCTTCGAGCATTATCAATATTATGTACTGCTGTGAAATAAAGTATCTAACAAATGTCGCGTGCATATAAAAATTCATACGACTGCTTAAGTGCTGAATTATGTTGCGCGCTCGTTGGTCTCGAGCAAAAATTCAATAATGCATCCTAGGGTTAATATACGAATTTGTCCTGTCATGTGGATTAATGCAAGACGCGAGAATTCCGACGTACGTATGGAAATGACGTTTTTGCGTAAACAGCGCGGAGCCGCTTCGGTTTCGCGCAGCTGTAACCGGCTCGGCAGGCCGAAGAACCGAGGGAAATTTAGCAAAGCCTGACAAACGACCGCCATTTATAAGTAGATAGGTCAAGGCGAGCGCTTAAGCATCTCAGTATAAATTGCGAAAAAAAAGAACGCAGAGGGAGGAGGCGGCAGAGGCGGGGGAGGTAAAAAAGACAAGACGTGGCGTATTCGCCTGCTCCGCAATACTCGTGTGTGTTGTGCGCTCTTGTGCGATTATTTCTGGGTGAAAATATAAATTGGCAGAATACATCGCGAGCCGACGGATCACTGAGAGAATTCAGAAAATTGCCGAGTGATGAAGATGCCGCCGTCGGCGAATTTCGCGAGCCGACGAAATAAACACCAATAATCCGACAGCATTGGTCTCCTTTGTTCCTCTCTTTCTCTTTTCCACTTCTCTTGTGATCTTCTCTTGTAACATTTTGCTTCGATCTTTGTTGTACTCTACACAGCCGGAGTTGACATCAATTCACAAAATCAATAATGTATCGTACGGAAAAAAATATCAGAGACGTAAAAAATATCCCACTCGGCTATTAATTTCTCGTGCGAGCAATGCAACGCAAAAAAATCTTTCACCGCGTGAAAGATTTTCGAGGGAAAATAAAATTCGCCTTTGGTATCTCCAGGGTGATCACTTTCGACATGTAGCTTTACCAAATAAATTTTCACATAATGCTATTTTTATTGAGAGAATGTTATTTTCACATTTAATTTATATACTCTTTTAATCCGTTGACAGAAAATAGAGTCGTTGGTACCATCAAGATTTCGCAGAGAAAAAGACGAGACTCTCGATGCCGTTTGACGGCGGAGCAAACTCACTTTGAAATCGGCAAGTATGTTCGCGAGCTCTTCACGTCAGCCATAATGTTTTATTTCGAAACAAACTTTTGCATCGAAATTTTCATTTGACATTTAGTGTCGGCATAAAAATAAAACTCGTTCACCAAGGGGGAGGACCGCCTGGCGTCAAATATAATCGAGATAGATTGATTATTATTTAACGCGCCAAATGACAATTTACAATTTATAATGAAAAATTTGGCCGATAAGCATCGATTGTCAATACTAAACTATTTAAGAATCCTTTTGCTGTTTTAATATCGTAGGGAAAGAGAAAGGGAAAAGTGTCGCCAGTATTTTAAATGAAAGTAAGAAAGAATAAAGAAGAAATGCATCTATATCTACATTTTTGTAATCAATATTAATCTTTAAAAAACATTGTGATATCATACTTTTATTTATGTACAAAAGACATTGTTCCCATTTCAGTCCAAGTCCTTTCTATTCCAAATTTGATTTCGTTTAGCATTTCACACACATTGAAAATTTTCTTTTCTCTACTACTTTTCTCGCATACGATTACGCGATACATGAAGTATAATTATTACACACGACGCTAATTAGTTTCCTTAGAAATTCAATTATCTCAAGCACATGGTATAAAATCAGATAGAATTCTCGTAAGCTCGCGCCTCGCTATCTTTCGTATCGCTTCTTTCTTCCTTCTCTCTTTTCCCATTATGTTAGAATAGAAAATCCAACGATATAAATCGTGGTAGTGCAAAACTTGCAGTTAACTCTTACACGGTCACGCTATTAGCGTAATTCTAGTAAGACAAAACGTTTCTTCATAATGACAATTATATTGTCTACTTTGTAATATAAATATAGAGAGTTCTCCTTTTTCAGTTTTCAAAAATATATTGGCGCTTTAACAAACAAGTTGGTAAATTTAAACGCCCGCATCTTTTAATTTTTGTGAGAATATTACAATATATATAGAAAGGTATAAGATATGGCACGACGCGAGAGACATAATCTCCGAGACACTACTTGGTAAAACTACTTGAGAAACGTTTGACAGGTTTATGGTTGCATTCGAATGGTCGCACGCCGACTACGGAGTACGGACATATTTTTGGAAAACAGAATTAGGCTCGTATCGAGCGGCGCCCACCATACAGCTCTAAATCGCGGGAATCGAGCCGAGTTAGGCCCATTTATCTCGCGCATGAATATGCCTAACGACTGTCCAGACGAAAAAAGGAAAAAACGGTAGCGACGCAGCGCGCACGGCCAATAGGGAACGGCGAGAAATCGATACGACTTTAATCCGTAGGCTAAAGGCCGATATCCGCAATCGGGAGAGCGAAAGTGATTGATGGATGCCCATAAATACATAATCACGGCTCATTCGGCGGCGGTACAGCGCCGACGGACGACGAAAAATCGGATCCTCGTCGTCGAAGAGCCGTCCGCCATTCTCGCGGTTGGAATTTTTAATCCTAAACGCGCTATCGCGTTATACCTACAGATACAGATTTCCTCACCGAAACGTACACGCCACTCATGCGAAACGCACTCGTTGCACCTTTCATTCACAGCTCTCCTAGATGCTGCATACTTTTCATTGCTCACTAACTGTAACGAGAACGAGGTTTGGAAGGATCAAAAAAAACAAATGCGAAATAATATAGCGACACGTAAAAATAAATAGCAAATTAAAAAAAAAACAAATAGAGACGGAGACAGTCTACGATATTGAAGTTTATTCCTAACTAACGAACAGAAATTTTAATTTTGCAGATGATCACATTTCTCATTAAAATAAATATATATCGACAGAGACCTTTAAAACATATACAAAAATAAATAAAATGAAAAGTTGATAAATTTACTGCCAATAATAGCAAATAAATTTAATATTTGTATGCATCCGCGACCATTAGAATTTACGAAACCTGTCATCGTAGTAAACAGATAAAAATTTACAAATACTCGCTGTTGTTCCTTCGACAGTCGCGCGCATTTAGCAAAATACTTATCGTATTTCGTAAATGTTTTGCAACCTGCGACGGAGCGTTAAGTCATTGCAAAAATTCACCTGTCAAGGACCGAGCTTTGCTGTAGACGTCGCTTTCTCCGATCTAAAGAATTCTCCGTGTTGCACGCAAAAGAGTTTGCGATCCATCGAAACAGACACGCACGCACGTTTCGGCAATTTTGCAAGCGCAACCAGGACTGAACGACGGGACGGAGCGGAATTGAGCGGTAAAAAGCGCGCGTTGAATCGTCCTGCACGATCCGGCTGCGATTAAGACACCGACGGTATCAGACGCAAACATATTATTTGCCTGAAATTGTCAATATTCATTATATCCGGTTTACCGAGAACTATTTTTGCAGCGAAACACAATTAACACCTTGTGGATGTGTCACCAATATTTATTCTTGGCAAAGAAGACGTGAGAATTGACGTAAGAAACATTTCTTTCGCGTATTTAGAGTGAAAACTGTATCTAACGTAAAAATTGGAGGAAACTGAAATTGTACGATTTTAATTCTTGTTTATGTATTAGCAAGAATGAGTCAGCTGTATGGAAGCAAAAGTATGCGAAAAGAATTCGTCGTTATCTCATTAAAAGTTGGGCAACAAAAGAGATTGGAGTCGAAAAAAGTTGCATACGAATCACATCACAATAACGCACGCGTAAAGCGAGTTATCGGCGGCGAGAAACACTGCTTTTGCATGGATTCAGTTATCGGAATCAATACGGCCTGTTTAGCACAACACACTGAATGATCGAAAAGTGTCAATGCAATCGAATTTCATTCGCAATTCCTTCACTTCGAATCTCGAAGCGAGTTTACATCAAGTGTTCTGAATTTACATAAAACGAGAAAAATATTTGAATATGCCGAGTATCTAGCATCAGCAAAACAACTCAGACACACAACTCGAAACGTAGATACCACCTATTTTTTTTAAATAATCGTACATTTCAAACATTTATCCACAACGTCAATTTGTAAAAATTTTTTTAAAGAGACACAAATATTAACATTGCGGTTAATGAAAACTGCACGAATATACTTTCATCTGCAGCAGTCTACTTTGGAAATATAATTTACTACTTGTTCGGTGTAATACGAAAGATAAAAAATTCTTCAAGTATGTCATGATATACCTATACCTATACATATCAAAAGCAAAAAGTAAAACTTTCTTCGTGTATTATTGTTTTAGTATTACAATAATCGGATTTACGTAATTATTTAAGATATTTATCAAGCACATACCAAACTAAAAAACACACTGAGAAAGAAACTTGTTACATCCGACGGCCAGAAACGTATTTTATAACCATGAAGAATATAGCAATCATACGTAAATACAATATTTATATACAACAAATCTTAAAAAGTTATTTGTAATAGTTTATGCATCCAGAGAATAGGAATTCATATTTTTTTACATTAGACACATATTAAATAATAAGTAAGTCACGCATTAGGCTCGAACACATAGGTATAAATTTTTGATAGATTCGTTGTAAGCGAATGTAAAAGGCTATAACAAGACTATTGTCCCGCAATTCGTTATATTTGACCGCTGGATTGAATAAGAAACCGCGCCAGTGACGCGAGAGCTGATTAATTCTTCGAAAAGAGATCTAAATTTTGCGGTAAATTTTAATTCAAAATTTAGATAAATGTGACATTATCAACGTTAAAGTATTAGATATAATCACATAAAACTCTCTCTCTAAAAGTAATATAGAGCTTTGATATAAAATTAAAGTAGATTTTAATAAGTAGAAAGAAGAATATTTGGAAAACTGAAAATTTCATGAAACGGAAATGAATAATTTGCACGTTATTATCGTTATTATTATATTATACCATACGAACACTATATACTAAAGAGTTACTACAGATTTATTGAAACATGATTCATTAAGTTCGTGTCACTCCGGGCGTTTAAATTGTAAAAAGAAGACTTCAATGATACTTAATTGAATTATCATAGACAATAATCTATTACCGGAATAATGTTGCAATTATTTATCACGTTAGTGCAGAATAATGAAGAAATAATGCGTCTAACTTTTGACACGTTAGAAATGTTTACGAGACACAGTGAATGGAAACGCGTTTCGGAGCGTAGCGATGCCTTTCATCATTGAAAACAACAACGGAATGTCAACTTGCCGCTTGTTTTAATTAAGCGTTCGTAACGTCGTATGCATTTGTCATCGGGCAATCTGTGAGTGAATGAAAATTATGAAGCTCTGCGCCCATCTTCTGAAATCTAACGAAACGCTTTCCGTTCGAAACAGGCGTTAATAAATTTGTGCGTGAAACGCGATTGAAGATTATTCGGATAAGGATATTCGGAAACAATATGCGATCTCAAAGTGAATACTCGGTCTACGATTGCGTGAGCGTGCCTGAAATCAGTGAAGATTCTTCCAGAGTTCCGAAACGGTCTCGTCGTAACGGGCGTAAATATTCAACAGATGATCCCTATTCGGATCCTCTTGGATGCCATACAACTGTTTAGTCGTTTAGTGGAAGTCGGTGGTGAACCGACGAGCGTGAGGCGTCGTCGTTGCGACTCACAATCGAGGCCGGGGGAAATTTACTCCCCGGTATTGTGCTATGATTATCGGACGTAATTACGGTCAAAGTCGTTCGATTACGACGTGTGTAATCGACACGTAAACACGAAACGAGCCTGCAAGCCTCTCTCTCTCTCTCTCTCTCCCTCTCGTTCTCCCGCATCCTTCGCGAATCGGCGATACCGGTGACACGGGTGCGCGCGAATCGCTCGAATTTCGCACGCGAGTAAGAAGCTCGCTCTCGGCTAGCCCGAAAGCAGCCCCTTTGTGCGGCTGTCGTTTCTCTTTCTTCGGCCGCCGCAACGCGTTGTAAGCGACGTTACAACGTTACAAAGCGCCGAGGCGGCCAACATGTAAATTCCCTTTCGACACGGCGACGATACTCGATTCAAATTCACCAGCCGCGGACTCGCGTGCGTCCAAGTCTAAGGAGACGGAACCTGCCGGGGAATCCCTCTCGAGGCGCGATACAGCGCGAAAGAAAAAGAGGGACGCTGTTTTACAAACTCACGCGCCGCGATGAATTCCTAGAATCCTCTCGGTAATGAAATCACGCCGTGGCATAAAAACCTGGCAGCGAGAGCTCCACGAAAATTAGATCTTGTGTCTGCGCATGGCGCGATCGCGTTCAGAAATGATGGACAATCAATCACTTTCGCGTAATGAGAAACTTTTTCCGCGCATCACCCTCATTTTTAAACATGAGATTTAAAAAAGATACTTTTCTCCAACGGCACTTCAATTCTCGTGAAATTTTCATTTAGACATTTTTGGAGCACTCGGCAAAAATACCGGCGAAGAACGATCCTAGCTAGTATTTTTGAAAAGCCGCTCCGAAGCTGGGTCATCCTCGACTCCGATTTAACGCGTTTGTTCTGAATTTCCGTAGCGAGAAAAGGATGCATAATGCGAAACATACCCTTGGCTGCGCCATGAACGCCCTGGCCGCGCCGGGGAACTCTGCGTGCTGAGCCACCGTAGCGGCTGTATTTTCCCACAATGTAAGCAAGCGAGCCTCGACACTTCACTACACTTTCTTGGCACTGTTATAGCGCGCTAAGCTTAAACGCTCGAACGCGCTGCGCTGGACTTTCACGGTAACGATAAGGTCGTCCGACGGAAAAGTTGTCTCTTCTTTTTGAATCGGCCGTCGGACTGCGTCGCCACTCGGTTTGCTCCGGTTCCGCTCTGCTGAAATCCTTCCTTCTTTCTCTTCCTCCCTCTCCCTCTCACTCTTTCTCTTTCTCTCCGTGTCTCTCTGCGGATTCCTTCTCACTGCCTGCTTTTCCTTTTGTGTCGCGACTCGTCCTCTGTATTTTGAAAGACTCACACATACACAACAGACAGGAGGAAGGACGGCGTCGGTTTCGGCAGCCGACGGTGAAATTCAAACTGTCGCGGACGAGCGTCAGCACAGTTCGGCGGTGAGTATCGTTTGTGGTATGACTTTTCCGACGGCTACGACAACGGCTCGGGCCGGGTACACGTGCTTCCTCATCATCGTTGCGGTTATTACACCACCTCGGACGTCCACACATACGCACAAACACACACACACACGGCCGTGGGTGTCGGAGCTTCTCTCGTCAATCCCGCATATTGTTACGAGCGTTCGGTTGCTTGTACAGACACGTGGCTCGACCTTCGCGCGGTATCAACAAGACAAGAGCCGTTGGAGAGAATAAACACAAAACGCACCTAAAGCGCGTTCGCGCGCGAGGTGATCGCGAGATGATCGCGAACGTGCCGCATCGAGACGCGATGCACACAAAGTTAACTTTAGTCCCGTTTCACTTTCCTGCTCCCTTCACATCCGCGACGCACGACGACGACGACACGTCCCGCTTCTATTCACCGTTTCCCACACAATCGATCATCACCGATGATGTCACTGACAGAGACAGAGAGGAAAACACGTTACATTCTCCAGTTCACGACACCAAGTGAGAGCCACAATGACGCCCGACGACGTAGATGAGGACGACGACGACGGGCGCCACGACGCGAGCACTATGCACCGACGTGTATGCTAGCACCTCGCGGGTGTTTCGTCGCGCGCGTTTACGGGAGCGATCAGCGATCACCGAGCGAAGACGCGACGCGAAGCGAGGCGCGTGACGCACACGGTGTGACGGCGGCGTTGCCACGACACGACACGACACGACACGGCGCGTTGTCTCGTGCTCAACTGCTGGCCTCCCTGCTCCGGTCTCCCTGCTCCGGCCGCGGTTGCCGCCTTTACGCACAATATTCTAATCTAATCTACGACACCGGCCGCGCTTCTTTCGGAATACGGCACGCACGCACGCACGCACGTTACGGAGGACGCGAGATGGATGCGACGTGACGTGACGCGACGCGACGCGACGCGACGCAACGCGACGTGACGCGTGGCGAGAGGCGAGACGAGACGAGACGAGACGAGGCGAGGCGAGAGGCGAGAGGCGACGCGACGCGACGCGACGGGCGGTACGCGATATAACCGCAGGATCGCGACGCGAGTCGAGAGAGGAGACCGCGCGAGCAAGAGCTGTCCGCGAGACGGCGGGCGACCCTCCTCCCTGACCGTGACTACTACTGCGTGTGGCACTCGTAACTCCGGCGGACAGAAGGTGGTAGGTTCGTAGTGTGTTACACGTAGCGGGCGCGCGGTCGAAGCCAGCCACGGGGATATGCGTGTTTCAGGTTTCCCCCACGAAAAAGCAACCGGGTGTAGATCGCACGGGTAGAGAAGAGCGGAGCGAGCGAGCGTGGAGAGCAGCGCCTAGCGCGGTTTTAGATCCTGCGCCGTCCGCAGTCGTTCGCCAACTGTCAATCAGCGCCGCGCTACGCGACGGAGTGGGAGACGCGGAGACACGCCCACCGAGCTCGGCCAATGCGTCCACTGCGCCCGCCTATCGGGACCCCGGACCCGGCCGAGAGCAAGCGCGGTCTCAGCGCCCTCGCGGCCAGACTCGGAACCACCGGATCCTCCGCCATCGCTACACCACCACTACCAACGAGACTGCCGACGGCCGATGACGACGCCGCCGACGCCGACGCCGATGACGACGACGACGACGACGACGACGACGTCAGCGACGACGATCGCGATCAAGAGCCCATGGCTACGACCATACGAGACAGCGTCGTTCGCGAAATACTGAGATGCATCGCATCGCTTCTAATTCCAGGATCGCGCGACCGAGGCGTTTCCCTCGTTTTTGCCTCTCCTTGCTCCGAGACTCTTCTCTAACGACTGAAACAGTCAAAAATACCATCATGTTCTGTGTTTCATTTCCAGTCTTATCGTCAAAAACGTGATTCTAAAGAGATTCCTTAAAGAGACACATGTAATCAATAACATGTACATGCAACCTGATTATTACGTTTGATATTCTAATTCAAACATATTGGTAAACTATCTTCCTTTTGTTATAAAAAGTATACGATACAACGGAAAGGGAATATGGAAATGTGAGTAATTTCGAGTAGTTTCGAGTATTAATACGACTGACTGAAGCACTTGGTGCGAACGTGCCGTCGGTGATCGACGTGGGACAAACAGCGTAAAAAATTTGACATTGCACTTTCAGAACTGCTCCTATCGTGCTGGCGCTCAGCAGATCGAACCGAACGGTCACGCGCGCGCGCGCGCGAACGCAGGATAATTCTGACAGTCAGCATGGCGAGTGGTTCTTGGCAGAGAGAATCCACCGCGCCGTTTCCCTACAAACTACTTTACAAACGCAGCCACCTGAACAAATTCCTATTGATCCTAGTTTGCGGAATTGGAGCTGATCCTAACTCAACAATTCACTATTCTTTTCTAAATTACAGTCCTTCGTGCACCTATCTCTACAATAAATATTTTATTTACCAGGATTGACCATCGACTATAGTGTCGCTAATGGCCTGCAATCTTTTCATAATCTTATCTAAAGTAAATTTATTCAGTCGTCATTTGACATCGGACTGCACTTATAAACAATCACAAAAAAATTCTAACCAGAGGAAGGTGCACTAATGATAAATATTTATACATATATAGTGTGTTTCTTTTGTTGTGTTTTATATATTACAAACGTTAAAGTCATTTGTATAATGATTCGTACAATGACAAGTCAAAAATAGAAATCACCACGATGTTTACTTTTACGTCGGACAAAAGATTTTAGTTATACAAAGAAAATTTCGAAAATTTAATGCAGCAAATAGTCAAACGCACGTGGTGCACATGTGATGCACACATATTGGCTCATATATCACACTACAAGCACTTACAACTCTTGTTACTAGTACCTGTTCTTTAGAATGATCTATTCTTGCGAAAGATGCACATGATATGTATGTGTAACAATAACTATATCGAAATTATTTACTATTTATAACAATGAATTTGCTAAAATAGAGATATTGAAGGAATGTTTTAATAAAACTGATAACGCATTCGTGCAATACAAGTCCATATCCAGTAACCATAAACGAAATTATCAACGACGACTACGTGATGAGCTTTTATATTTTTTATTACAATTTAGCCGATATTTCGCGCCAGGAAGCCAGCGGCGCTAGCGATCGAGCTTTGAATGAACCGAACAGCTGACTCTGCGTAGGAATTGGGTCGCGAACGTGCGGTTTCGAACTTTGAATGGTATTCGGCGTTCGGTGAGTAATAGCGACAGGAGGCGGTTGCAGGAGGACGTGGAGGAGGGCGGGCGACCTGTCACCGACATCACTCAGTGTCTCCCTCCTGGCGTTCACTTCGCTCGATTTTATGACTCTCTCATCCCGCACTTTCCTCCCTTCGCCGCAGCTTCGTCCTCGTCCTCGTCCTCGCGCGTCTACTCTACCGTCGTCGTCCTCGGCGCGCGTTTACACGCCGCGTTCCGCATAATATCGCAAATTGACACATCCGCGTTCGGCTTCGGCAGCCATCGATCGACGTGGCGGCGCGGCGCCAAGTTGGACGCCATCGACCAAATGGATAATGAATCCTGGATTCTCGAATTTATGTTGCGTCTTCCCTGTATACGTATATACTCATATGTACCTATATAGTATAGAAACGCGAAGGCGAGTTGTCTTTTCGTTAGGATTTAACTGATTTATTTTTACTATTCGATGTTAATTCTTTAATACGAGTAAGATTCATAGATGCAGTAAGTACAGGTCATACATGAAATAAATGAGATTATGTCAAATTGAGCTAAAGTTATGTAAACATTTGGAAGAACAATTTATCGTAACAGATCGTGAGAAATTTCTTTCTATGGAAAATTTTGTCAAACATTATTCTTTGTTTAGTCACATAATAAATAACAACTATAATAAATAATAATACAAGGAAAGTTATTGATTTCAATGTTAAAATTATAGAATATTTATACACTCTAAAAAGTTTTTCGAAGAAAGAATTTTAGATATATTGAACACAAAAATTGTTCGTAACAACAAAAGGTTTGGAATGTAAAAAAGAAAGTTGTTTAGCAGATTTCATTTAAACTTACATTTAGACAAAGCTTGAAATTCTTTTATAAAGACAACTTTCTTGTTTGCAACATAAATATTCTGCCGACAAAAATCGATTCTTTAGCATATATTGCAGATATAATTCATACCGCAACGAATTGCCTTTTGTAGTCCCAAACAAAGAAATTGCACAATCATCGATTCTTTTTTCCATCTCCTTTTGTTCTTTTACTTGTTCTTTTACTAATTCGCATTTCCAGAATATTGTAAGGAGCTACAGGGCGCAAAAGGCATTTTAAGCTTGTTATTTTGTGATAGATCCAGCACCGAGATGAATCCAGCTATGTCGTACATCTGTCAATAGTAACAAGGGAAGAACTTCGATCTCTCTCTCTCTCTCTCTCTCTCTCTCTCTCTCTCTCTCTCTCGCGCGCGCGCGCGCGCGCAGCAAGCGACGAGTCATTAAATTTCTCGTGACGCCAGAGAATGATCGATTCTTACGTAAGCCCCCTGCCTGCTGCGAATTATCTAAGTGGCCCTGCGAAAAATTCGATAAACGTCATCAGAGCCGAGAAAGCTGCCACCCTCGCTACTCTTCCGTATTCTACAATCTATATAATGTCCACGTGCTTGACAACTAGAACTTGGGATTTACGAAATAGAATAAAGTGTTAAATGTATATAAAAAATATAAAATAATAAAATGTGCAATGAAACAGCAATGCATCATATAATCAACAACAATTAAATTATAACTTTCTAATTTATGCCTCATACTTGTACATTTCTCAGAAAATTTATAATAAGCATTATTTTAGGTGACAGATTTCGACGATTGCACTTGAATTAGAATGATCACTCCAGCCTCCAAATGCACATTTATGAAAATAAAATTACAAGTATTAGATGAAAAGGAATTTCGGACGACATGCATTAATACATTGGCAAAGCTGATACAATGTGATTGTATGCGACCCTAACCTGCTTCCTATTCGTGCGTAATTCTATGAAACATCCCTACTGTCTCTCTTATTGTGTTGGAAAGGGGCGTAACAATGTCAAAGTCTATACAGTTAAGCTGAACAGAAGCAGGAAACGTGTTCGTATGCGATGTATACCGATTGTTCGCCTTTTGTGGAAGGTCCACTGCTTTACGCGCAGAGAATCTTCCGCAAGTTTAATTTAGGCTGTTGGTCGCGAAATGTAATATAAATCCTCGCTTTTTAAAAAGTTCGAGCAAAATTTACATTGGAAAAAAAATTTGCTGAATTTTAATAAATATGTGTTTCAATAGTACTGGCGAAATATTTACTTACAGTAAATAAGTATTCACTCAAAATAAAAAAATTATGCTTAAATCAAATAAATATGTGTTTATATTTAGTAAATATTTCGTTAGTACTATTGAAACAAATATTTATTAAAATTTAATAAATTTTTTTCCAGTGTACGAACTTTCGTAAATTCTATATGTTTATACTGAATTTCTTGTCGAAATTTTTTTAGGAGTAATCTAAAATTACATATCTATTAACAATACCTATATATAATAGCTTTAAATATACCTGCATAAATTCAAGCTTCCGTCAAAACATTCCGATAAAAAATTTAGTATCTTGAAAAATGCTGTCTCTTGTTATATTTTCAATCAACAAATCAACAAATATTAATTTGTTTGTTTGATTAATAAATTTAAAATGATTTTCGGTCCTTTAATCATTGTGCATAAATTGCAAGAAATTACACCGTCACTAATAATATCAGATAACCATCTCAACTCAACTCAGATTAAATATATGATCCGCATTTAAGCGGACCACGGATTAAGCGAGATTCAATCCTAAGGATTTCGCGTATGT